CGCGGCGCGGCGCGGCGTTTCCGCGTGCGTCACGTCGGCGCGACGCGAAACGCGACCTATCGCGGCAGTCGCGCGGCCGCAGTTGTTTGCGCGAACTGCGTCGGAATTATATTAGCCAACGACGCGCCGGCGGAGCGCGGGCGCGCGCGACGCAGCGAGCGGGTGCCGGCCGATCAACAACGTTGTTTACGCGCTTAATTAGAGACGTCGATGCAAATAAACGCGCCGCTTCCGCGGAATCCGCCCGCGCGGCGCACGACAATCGAATGGGCCGCGTGAATCGCCCGCTTCGAAATAGAAGCCGCGCGCGCGCGCGCGTCCGCCCGCGGGATCGCGTACCGCGATTTACGAGTCACCGAAATAATTTCGAGCTAATTTCAAAACGCAGAAGAGCGTCGGTGTCGCGGGAGGTCGTCCGCCGTGGGCGGAAGTCGCGGGCACTTGGAGCGAGTCCATCGGGGGATTTCGCAAGGTTGCGATATCAGCGAGGCGCGAACGGAGTGTGTGCGTCGCACGCGTTCCCGGACCCCCGATTCTTTCCCAATCGGCGCGTAGAGACGCTCTTTCCTCCTCCTCCTCTCCATTCCTCCCCCCGTCCCTTTTCCTTCTTCTCGATTAAACGGCGCGCAATTGGGATTACGTCGTTTCGATACCAGACGCGGATGTCGGGCCTCGCCGGAGCGAGCCCGACGCCTCGTGACTCCGCGTGGGCGGTTTCCGCGCGGCGCGGAAAGATCGACAGGATCGGATCGGGCGAGGGATAACGTGAGTCACGCGAAACGCCGTACGTAATTGGGCGGACTGGAATTCCGGGAGATTGCTCAATTTTCGCCGGCGCGTTTCGTGTCCCGATAATTCATTGTCCGTGTCGCGTTCTGATACAATCGGGGGGGAAACCGACCGGCGCGGCGGCCGCCTCTCGGCTTTCAAAAGCCGGGCTCCGGGTCGTGTCGTAATGCGCCGGCAATGCGGCTCGCCCGGGCGCAGCGGACCTCCAGTACGCGTCCTGCGAGCGACTTGTCCGGAGAGGTGTCGCGCACGGTAAACCGGGGGGGGCGGCAACTCGTTTCGCGGGGAAACACGCGCGATGATGCACGTCGTCATCGAGATTTACGCTCCTAATTGTTCTATTTCCCCGCGGGGTGACGTACAACGCGGCGCTGATGCCGCTGCTCCTCCTCGCGTTTCGCGAGCACGAATTATTCGACCCAGTTGAGTCAAGAGAGCGAGAGAGAGAGAGAGTCGCGGAATTAATGAGTCACTCCCGAACTTCTGAAAAATAGACGACACGGCGCGTTGCGTAACGCCGTATTAAATAACGAGCGCGCGTCACGCAGCTGTGAGTCGTCCGATTTCCATATCAGGATTCTAGAAAATCCTAGCCGCCTCGTCACGAGGCTTCGAGATGATTTTTGCCCCGGCGCACCGGTCGCTCCCCGTTTCGTCCCCGTTAAAACGGACTCGGGCGAGCGCGAACGAACGTTCGCCAGAGCCCTTGCATCTCGACACGAGGTAAATGTGGTCTCGTCCATGTGAATTTCGGCTCGTTTGTGCTCGTCGTGGCAGATTCTCTCTCTCTCTCTCTCTCGCTCTCTCAACTTCACCGGCTTGTCCCGAGATTGGAATCTCTTGAACGAATCGGGCCGGTGGCGTACGAAAAATCTTAAGCAGTAAGACTCGAGACATGAGAATTTCAATCGCACGGAATTCTCGGCGTTGCTTACGGCCGCTTAATTTTTTCTGTGTGTATAAATACCTACCGGCCTAAGGCTTAGGGTTTAAATCTCTATCGTGGATTGGCACTAAACGCCGCGCGATCGGATCCAGATTGGGCGCGAACGAGATGCGAGTGCGTCGCGAGGCCGGGCTGGACCTTCCGCAAGCCTCCCGCGGCAACGGAGGCTCGATTCTCATTAACGCGCCGCGGCCGCGCGCGTCTCACCGGCGCGCTAGCCTGGCGGCCTTACGTAACGCGCGTCGTTACATCCGTCGCGCGAAACGCTTTATCATTTATATTGCTGCAGGAGCTAAAGTTCATCAATAGTTGCGTAACGGCGTACGCAAGCGCGGTTTTGCTGCCAAGATCTTGTTTCCCGCGTCGGCTATGACTCGATAGCGCAGCGAGCACGTGTCCGAGTGGAAAACTGTCCGACTGGGACGTCTGTTTATGCAGGGTGTACTGAAACCACCGGATATCCTTTTAATAACAGACTCTTGAGAGAATTTCAAGACGAAGATTCTAATGCAAAAATATCGAGTCTGTAATAGTTTTTAAATAATAAGCGATTATATCTCACCAATGATGGGCCTGAG